GCTGAGCAGCAAAGCCCAAACCCACTGTCCCCGGCCCAGCTGGTGCCAGGGTGATTTATTGCCACCCAAGTCAGCTTAACTGGGACAGTTCCCTGTGTTTTAAAGCAGAGGTTACTGATGAACAGTGCTGAGTGCTGGGCTGTGTGTGGTGCCTGGGGTGTGCCTGCTGTGGTGGCCTCTGGTGGCACTGGCTGTGCCCTCTTGACCACCCTGCCTGGCATGGGGGTGCCACCTTTCTAACTTTGCTGACTCTTTTGCTTCTTGATTCTGATTTAAACCTCAGGTGGGTCAGGCTGCCCCTGCCCAGCTCAAGGCTCCAGCTGTGCCCTGGTGGGAGTGCTGCTGCTGCCAGTCTGCTGAGCACCACCCAGTGGGGAACTGAGCTAAACCACGTCTTGTGTGGATCTCTCAGTTTGGGTCTTTGCCTTGGTTAGAGCAGCAGGAGCTGGGTCCAGCAGAGGTGAGTGTTCCTGGCAGCTGGATGGATGCAGGGTGCAGCAGGAGCTGGGTCCAGCAGAGGTGAGTGTTCCTGGCAGCTGGATGGATGCAGGGTGCAGCAGGAGCTGGGTCCAGCAGAGGTGAGTGTTCCTGGCAGCTGGATGGATGCAGGGTGTCTCTGGGGCCTCCGAATCTTGCACCTGGACACACTCCAGGCTTCTGCTTTCCATGGTCTGGGACAAAAACTGCTGCCAGCATCACTAATGGGCTTCTGCTTTTAGCCTGAGTGCTGCAGGTTGCTGCTCTGACGTGGAAAGCAGGAGTCAATTAAGTAATTACCTGGCGTTTCGGCTGCCAGCACATGAGGGGTTTGTTTTTCACCACTGGTGTCAATCCTGACACTGTGTCTTATCCCGAACTCATGGGCTGGGGTGGGTGAGGGGGGATGTGAGGAGCTGGGCACCACAGTGCCCCTGAGCTCACCTTCCCCTGCAGCTGTCTGAGGATGGTCGAGGCTGTGCTGGCCAGGAGGAGGGAGAAGCCCCGGGGCAGATGGCAGAGCAGCTGCCGGGTTTGCCCTCCCTGCCCTGCAGAGCAGTGGGGGACAATTCGTGGTGTCTGAGCGTGACCAGAGCACGACAGGCCCCTGTCCACAGGGCAGGAGTTTGGGAAGGGGTGAGAGCTCCAGGTGGCAGATTCTGCTTTGGAAGCATCAGTCAGAGTGTTTTCTAACAGGTCATGAAATGGTTTGTCCCTCGGCTGGAAGCCCTGGGGGGCAGGCACAGGACCTGCCCCTGTGCTGGGCACCCCAACCTGGCTGTGCCACAGAGCCCCTGGCACAGACCCTGCAGGGATCCAACTCCCCTCCCAGAGCCCCTGGCACAGACCCTGCAGGGATCCAGCTCCCCTCACAGAGCCCCTGGCACAGACCCTGCAGGGATCCAGCTCCCCTGGCACAGACCTGCAGGGATCCAGCTCCCCTCCCAGAGCCCCTGGCACAGACCCTGCAGGGATCCAGCTCCCCTGGCATACTCTGGGTCTGATGGGGGACCCCAGCCCTGTGCCCACCCCCATGGCAGTGGGTTGGGAGTCACCTGCAGTGGGGGTGTGTACAGCAGCTGCTTTAATGGCTACTTAAAAATCAGTTTTGTTTGTCATCTTTGCTGTTTATAAACACTCACTAAGGCTCAGAAACACAAACATCCTGGAAATACAAACAACCTACAATTTCATTTTTCTTTTCTTCCTGCTTTCTCCCAGACAGGCTGGTGGGACCCAGGGACCCTGGACCAAGGAGTGTCCCAGTGAAGGGCTGCCTAAGAGTGGATGCCCTTGCAGGAGCAGAGCAGCAAAACCAGGACCACGAAGGACCTATGGTTAGTAAATTTAACAATATATGTGAGAGTTTGTTGCCACAGCAGCACAAAGAAGCCAGGGGACATCAGTGTCAATTATAGCCCTTCCCAGTTAGGTCATGATTCAGTGTGTGAATGTATTTGTACCAGGAGACATCATTTCAAACATCTGGCTGGGGCCAGATTTGCTGCTGCTTGTTCAGTCACAGATAATCACTTAGCACAGGTGTTGGATTAAATTGAAAATTCAAGAAGGGCCAATATCACACAGTTTCATGTGTCCTGATTCTGCAGATAAAGCTGACTGAAAATTTTCAGTGACATTTTTGGTGGGGAAACAAGTATTAAATCCATTATGTGTTATAGATAGAGGCTCAGTCGTTCATTGGACACTGATTAGAAAAACACTTTGTTTTTAATTTATCAAAATGAAATGTCCTTATATTTGTTGTGAGAGTCCTTACTTGGAGGACTGAATTATTGGAAGGGGAAGGGCAAACTAGAAGCAGCACCAGTAGAAGTGCTTTGAATTGCTGTGGTGATGCCTGGTGAGTCCAAACCAACCCTTTTAATAAATTGTAGATTTTCCCCCCTGGACGTACATTTCAGTTCTCTTGAACTGGTCTGGAAACAGGTTTGGAATCTTGGCTCTAGCCTGGCAAGAAGAGTTTTCTCTGCAGGCTGAGTGACTGGTGTCCATCCATCTCCCTCCCAGGGATGGCTGCTGTGCTGCAAGTACCACGGAGGGACTGGAGCTGCTTCTTCTGCAGGTGCTCTGGTGACAAATGGCTCCTTCTCCCCCTGTTTAGTCTCCCTCTGACACACAAATCCAGGCATAAACAGGCTAAGCTTCTCTTGTTCTGGCTGTTTCACCCTGCTGGTTTGAGGAGCAGCAGAGTGAGCTGAGCTGTAGGTGACACACAGCTCTGTGCTCCAGGGAATTGCATCTCCAGGGGCTGCTGGGACTCCTCAGCCCCTGGGTGAGGTGACTGGGAACTGCTGGAGTGCACTGGGGAGCAGGGACAGGGCTGGTGGAGGCTGGGTGGATCTCTGCCCCCGGGCAGCTCCAGGTAGAAAGTGCAGAGGCACAAGTTCATGATCCATGGGAAAGCACATAGGGCTTGGCAGCAAAAGTTGTGTTGCTAATTAAACAGGAGCTGGGAAGTGCTTGAGGGAGCCAGAGCCCTGTAAAAAGCTGTCCAGCCTCTCTTGCACTTTCCACTAATTAAAGGGAGTAATAAATAAACGTTCATTGGAGCAGGGGCAGGCTTGGGGAGTATTTTACCCTGGCACAGAGATGGAGCAGAGGGAGCTGCACTACCCCTGCACTGCAAAGGCTGAGATCTGCTTAATCTTTGGGGACAAGGAGGGCAGCAATGAAGTGATAAATACAGCAGCAGAACAGTGCAAACAATATTTAGCGAAGGAATGAAGTTCAGTGATGATATTTTGGTGGCAAATCAGAACAGTACAAGCGGCTGGGGACAATTTGCGTTCAAACTCTGCTCCAAGTCCTGCAGCTGAAAAAGGTTAAATCTCTGAAGGAGAACTGTAATATCAACAGAGGAACACTTCATTAACTTATTGACACTTACCTTTGGATTTCACCTGGTTTACCCATTTTTCCTCTGCATAGGAATGCAAGTTGTTTCCTGTTTGATAGCCCTGTCTGTCTCCATCACAGCTCTCTGAAGGGGATACAGAGCACTGAGCATTGTGTTCACCCAGAGACACAGAAGAACTGCACAGCCAACCACTAAGAGAAATTTATCACTGCAAAGTCATTTCCCACTGAGAAGGGTCTTAGCCTTTCCTGGGGTAGGATGCTAATTGTAGGCTCTTTTTGCTCATACTGGGTCTCAAAAGCAGCATCCTCACATTTCTGTGAGAACCTGAATTAATCTAGTTCAGCTTTTTTAGCAGGGGGAGGGTGGAAGACAGGAACTCAGGCTGAGAACCGAGCAGACAAAGAGAGACTCTAAGCCACAAAGCTGGCAATGGAATATGCTGCTGGAGAAAATCCAAGAGAATGGAAGGTATTACAGACTTACCATTGCATCTGACTGTGCATGGCTTACCAGGGCAGGAGTTCTTATTCTGGAGGAACTCAGAGCTAGTGAGATTACTCATGATTTTCATAACATTCATTGGATCTGCATCAGTGTCCAAACGGGAGGTATCTGCATGTGCAACACAACGTCTCTCTAACGTCAACAAGCGTTGCTGTGGCAGAAGGCCAAAGCCAGCAAAGGGCAATTCACTGATGGCTCATTGTTTGAATCTGTGTCCCTGTCTCGGGTCAGGGCTGTGCTGGTTTATCTGCTGCCTTCCCTCCCCCAGCTGCCTGTCCAGCAGCCACTGTCATTTCATTCTGCCCTCAGGTCAGGCCCAACTCAATCAGCATTGGTTTACTGTGAAATGTCCAGAGTCATTTTACTCCCCATGCCTGTCTCCAAGCACTCCAGGAGAAAGTTTAAATATTACTTCTGGCTCCTTCAGCCACTAACTCGCACGATGTTTTCATGGAAGCGTCTATGCTGCTCTGTAACATGCTTTTCACTGATTCATGTTACCTAAAAACATTGCCATAGACTAAAAAAAGCAAACAAAAAAAGACTTTGTTTGTGCTTTCAAGGCATTTCTGTGTGACACGGCCTGATATTCGTATAGCTGTGGCACAGCTAAAGCAGCAAAGGTTGGGTGTGGGGTGCCTGCCAGCACAGCCACGCTGGGCTGATAAATACACTTCAGCACACGGGCTGGGAGCATTTTGACTAGTGAAATGCTGTTAGCATTTCCCTGTGGTCTTTTGTGCTTGGAAGGCAATGACTGAGCTCTTGGCATCGCTGGCTTGCCAAGGAAGTGGCAGTGGGGTGGTGGGATTGTCATTACACCACAGGCTTTTAGCCAAAAACGAATGACACGGAGACAAAACCAGCAGCTCTGAATCCACCTCTGCAGTCTGTTGGCTTTAAATATCACAGTGAATTATACATGTGCAAAAATACAGCAGATATTGCAGGGCTGGCCCACACCCCTGACAGGCACTCCCAAACCTCACTCTGGGCCATCGTCTGGTGCTCCAGTCCTGTGCCTGGCTTGGCTGGGCTTGGCTGGGTTTGGTGGGGTAGAGTTCCTTTTGTTTGCAGTGGCAGGTATGGGGCTGTGTTTGGGATTTGTGCTGAACACAGCGATTACAACAGAGATGTTTTTGTTATTGCTGAGCTGTGTTTACCCAGAGCCAAGGCCTTTTCTGCCCCTCGCACGGCCACACTGGGGAGGGGACACTGGGAGGGGACACAGCTGGGACCCCAACTGATCCAAGGGGTATTCCATACTATATGATGTCATGCTCAGTAAATAAGGTGGGGGGACGTTTGGAGTGATGGCTTTTGTCTTCTCAAATAACTGTTATGTGTGATGGAGCCCTGCTGTCCTGGGGATGGCTGAACACCTGCTGCCCCTGGGAAGCAGGGA